CAATCTGCTCTAGAACGGGAGAAGACACATATTACTGATTTCGCACCTGAAGCAAGTCCCTCAATTTTGGAAATACTAAATTTTTATTACTGCATTACTTTAGAATCTCCCTTAGACTCATTTCGGTATGAATCTTTTTCAGGTTGCCTGGGTCACACGATCGGGCAGCTCCGAACTCTCTGAGCCGGTCGCCATCCGGCCGACCAGCGAAACCATCATGTATCCCTCCTTTGCCAAGTGGATACAGTCGCATCGCGATCTGCCACTCAAGTTGAACCAATGGAGCAATGTTGTTCGTTGGGAATTCAAGCATCCACAACCTTTTATCAGGTCATTATATCAAATTGATATCCAACTCTGTTAAGGAAGAAATTGTATTATAAAATCAAACGATTATAACCTTGGTTAAAATTTTTTATATGTAAGACTCTTCAATTTGTGTACTGTTGATTTTTCTATTACATAAACATGTTTGTTATGTAAAATAATTTGGTTTTAAAGAATTCCTCAATAGATTGATGATGGAGTATCTTTCATTTCGTTTGAAGATGCGATTGAAAGGGATTGATAAGTTGGTCTCACGAAGGCTGTATGGGGATTTATGAGGTTAGCGGGAAGGTGAGCTCAGGACTTATTTGCACGAATCTATCGTCACAGATCCAAGGCAACTCCTTTTCGACTTCTGCTGAAATCAACTTACGAATCCTTTCCACTCGTCTCTTCAAATAAAATGTAAAGCACTCCAACATTAATCTATTGAGGCATTCTTCGGAAGCGAGATTCTATACTTAGATCTTGATATGCAATATGCTTAGATTGAGTTGACCCTTCGGTCTTATTTAGACTCCAATCATGCCACTTTATATGATAGCATATTTCTTGCAAATGCCCTAAATATCTGTGGACGCGTAAGGATGGACATGTAAGGATGGCCGCTTTTACTTGTTCTGCGTGTTTTTCGCGTTTTATTTATGCTTTTAACCCCGGGCTCGTGCTATTCCCTTTCAATTGTTATTTGGTTACCTAAGTTTATTAGCCATATTTTAAATGGAGTTACATTTTTGGCGCTTTTAGCATGACATTTTTCCTTCACTTTTTTCTTTGATGCTCACACCAGTCTTATTTTGTGGAATAATCTAGCCCTATTATTTATGATGGTATTTAAAGTATATCAGAGAATATTTTAATTTCCTGTTTTATCTTTAATTGGATTAATTATTTTTAGTAGGTTAA